ACCATGATCCTGAGAAGTGGGTATCATGCCCACTTTCCACTTAAACAAGCAGATCAATCAGGAAGTGGCTGAGCTGGGACTAGTCAATGAGAATGCACAGCCCATGCCCCTTCTACATGCTGTTTTGCTTCCCTTATGTCCCTAAGGGTGCCCAGGTATGTACCTTGACCTTTAACTATTACATCCTCATTATGAAATTGCTCCCCTTAAGTTTATCTCTTCATTTCCTCCCCTTTCAGTTATATTCCCTAAAGCAGGGACTGGTAGTGTTCAGGGCAGTCACCAAACTGGGGAGCCTTAGCTCATTTTGAGTCACCTCACTTCCCTATGAAAATACCCACTGTCATAAAACCCTCTTCCTGTGATGGAGCCACTTCCATCCAGTCTGGTAGACGCCTGAGAGTGGCAGTGGTATGGCCTTCACACAAGGATCTGGGTGGCTCCAGGGCTCTAAGGCAAGGAAGGCCCAGCAAGACCCAAGACTACGTGATCGCTCTGGGTCAAGGGGGCTTGTTCCAAGAGCTTGGGCTCTAGAGGGACACTGCTTTTAGGTACTGCATAATACAGGAAGAGCGATCATGCTTTCTGAATGAAAAAATCAAAAACATAGACTGATAGGGAATTTTGTGCTATCCATGAGGGCTAGGAGCTAATGAGAGGATGGAGTTGGGACACTAGCATGTTGGTATTTCTAGCATATGCTGATGGGGAAGTGAGCAGAATATTTAAAATGGAGCCTTCAGAGCAAATGCAAGCTATAGGGTAACTGAATGCATGGATTGCAGACAGCCGAGAGCAGTAGCAACAGGAGAGGACCCGCTTAGGGTAGCTGAAGGGGGAAGAAACAGTCCCATGGGGGACTGGACCATGTCTGATGATGAGGACAGTCATCTCAGTCCAGAGCCATGGGACCAACCTAAGCATGGAAAGAAAAGGGCTTTTTCTTAAAGCAAAACAGCTACAGCTAGGTGGCAGTGCCAGGGCAGGGTGGGGACAGTGTCAACTTACTCATCTTGAAACTCAGGCCTAAAAGCGGGGAAAGCAATAAAAAAGAGAGTGCCTTGAAAGGCTGGGGCCAGAAAGAAATAGATGTGTACCACCAGAGCCATTTCATTTCCTGAGCTTCATTTTCTCATCTGTAAAACAGGGTCACCAGAATGAATAATTGTGGAAGTCCCTTCCAGATCTTACATTCCTAATGGTGACTTCCTTGTCCCCTGGACAGAGCACATTATTCAGTCTTTGTTGCACTTCTGTCCAGGTCTCCTAAAGTCTGTCTTCCTTCTATTAGGACCAGTAGACTACCTGCCTCACTGTGTGTTCCTGCCCGTGTCCCACACTCCTGCCATAGGTGGTCCTTGAGAAGATGCCTTTCTATATTTTCGAATGCTCAAGATATGTCATCATATGGAGAGATAGGGAAAGGGAAGATTCTGGATAATTCTTTGCAGGTGACATCCTTGGAAAAGAGCTACCAGTTTCTTGGGATATTGGATTAGATGGCATGTATGGGTGGAAAAATAGGCAATTTATTTGTCCATATAGTCAATAGTATATCGAAGTTAGGAGGTGACTGCTAAAGTATTGAATTCAATTTTAAGCTGAGTAAATAGGAGATAAGGGAGATGACAGCTCAGCTCTCCTAAACCAGTCACACAGCAGATGTCAGGTGCAATGGCATTTCCTGTCTCAACCCGGACTGTGTAAGGAGGAAAGTGAAAGTACTCAAAACCAGGTCAGTATTGGACAGGTAGAGGAACTTGCAGGAGAACTGAGAGAGGAAATAACTATCCTCAGATATCTACAGTCTCATTACATAAGAAGAATGAGGTGTGTTTTGTAAACAGACTTCAACTCAGAGCAAAGCAAAGCCTCCTGGGTCCAACTGCCAAAGATGGAAATAGGATGAGAAGTTAGTAAATTCCCCTTCCCATGGAGAAAGGAAACAGGATTCATATTTGGTGATTGCCTAGGCACTGAATTGCTATTAAACCATCTCATCTAATCCTTGTGATTATGATTGAGCAAACTGGAATTCAGAGAGGTTAAGTAAATTGCTTAAGGTCACATAGCTACTGTAGAGTTTATTGAACACCAAAAAGCCAGTGTCTTTTTCATACCTACTTACTTACAGACCTCTCTATGAGGATTATATTTATATCTACACTTAGGATTATATTTAAGATCTTGCTCAGTCCTGAGAGCTTCAGATTCTAAATCAGGGTGGGGTGGGATGGTACGCACTTGTAATTCCAGTGACTAGGGAGGCTGAAGCAGGAGGATCACAAGTTCAAAGCCAGCCTGAGCAACTTAGCAAGGTCCTAAGCAACTTAGTAAGACCCTATCTCAGCATAAAAAAAATAAATAAATAAAATGGGCTGGGGATGTAGTTCAGTGGTTAGGCACCCCCTGGGTTCAGTCCCTGGTATCAAAAATAAATAAAACCAGTCAAGTGAAAAGAGGAAGAATCAAGGTGTGTGATAAGGTGACAGATGAAGGCTTTATTCCTAGATAAGACAATGAAGTCACATGAGACAGAGTCTTTAGCTCACCTAACCTGCATAAAAACCCTATCCTTGTTAGCTGGGTGACACACACCTGTAATCCCAGCAGCTCAGGAGGCTGAGACAGGAGCGTCTTGAGTTCAAAGACAGTCTTAGCAAAAGGCGAGGCACTAAACAACCTCAGTGAGACCCTGTCTTTAAATGAAATACAAAATAGGGCTGGGGATGTGGCTCAGTGGTCAAGTGTCCCTCAGTTCAGTTCCAGGTACCCGCCCCCTCAAAAATCCTCCATCCTTGGATTCTCCCTTGGTTACAAGATTAAATGAGTGTGTGTTTATGTGTAAATGTGTGTGTGCAGCACTGTACCACATACAGTGGGAGGAGAGGGCATGTAAAAGAAATGAGAGGGGAAAAGCAGGGACTCCAATGGTTCAGTTTTTTACAGAAAGAATATTCCTTGCTTCTCAGGGCAGTGGCATTTCAAAATTACCTAAGCAAGTGACCAGGGAACAGAGACAAGAAGAAGACCTTCTGCAAGTGGGCTTCTTGGTGTTTTATGTCTGGGTGCCATGACAAACACCTGTAATCCCAGACACTTAGGAGCCTGAAACAGAAAGATCACAAGTTCAAGACTAGCCAGCTTCAGCAACTTAGTGAGACCCTGACTCATCATAAAAATTGAAAGGACGAAGGACTGGGAATACACCTCAGTGGTAAAGTTTCCCTGGGTTCAATCCCCAGTACCAAGAAGAAAAAGATAAAAGGATATCATTTATTCTAAAAAGATATGTTACTTTGGCCCATGAAGAGTGCTTTTGGTAATTGTTTTCCGTGCTGGTGATTGAATCCAGGGCCTTTGCTTGATAATTGTACATTCTACTATTGAGTTATACCCTTAGCCCTCAAGAGTATACTTCTCTTCCTCCTCCCCCTCTTCCCTCTCCCTCCCCCTCCCCCTCCCCCTCCCCTTCCCCCTCCCCCCTCCTCCTCTTTCTTCCCCTCTTCCTCCTTGTTCTTCCTCTTCCTCCTCCTTTTCTTCTCCTCCTCCTCCTTGTTCTTCCTCTTCCTCCTCCTTTTCTTCTTCTCCTCCCCCTCTGTCTCCTCCTCCTCCTCCTTCTTCTTCTTCAACTTAGGGTCTCGCTATTTGGCCCATGCTGGCCTTAAACTCCTGGACTCAAGGGAGCCTCCTGGCTCAGCCTCATGAGTAGCCAGGACTGCAGGCACATGTCATCACACCTAGCAGATAGTATAAAGTAGGTAATGTGAATGCCGTTGGTTCTTATTTTTTGCAGTAATTATGTTCTACAAATTGCCATACCAGGGTGGGGATGTGGCTCAGTGGTAGAGTGCTTTCCTAGCAAGTGCAAGGCCCTGGGTTCAATCTCTAGCACCAAAAAAAAAAAAATTCTATGACCACTGCATTAGCAAATACTGACCTGAACCACTGCTCCCAGGGGAAATGCAGGGAGCCTATAGTAACAGCACAAGCATCAACTCATCAGCTCTTGTATTATATGTGTTTCTTTGGAAGACCCCTTATTGAACAGATGTTGTTGGTTTACTAACACTGGACTCCCAGCCAGCAGCATTATTACCCAAGTCCAAGAGAAGCTTATTTCACATTTCTTTTCTCTGTAAGGTGCGACACAGCCTTTTGGGCTTAGGCATACCAGATTGCACTTCCACACTGTTTTGGGGCCATTTGGGGGGAAAGTGGAATTGGGGACTGAACCCAGGGTGCTTTACCACTGAGCCACATCCCTATCCCTTTTTATTTTTTAATTTTGCGACAGGGTCTTGCTAAGTTACTGAGGGCCTGGCCAAGTATCTGAGGCTGATGACGGGGGATGTAGCTTTAGTGGTAAAGCACCCCTGGGTTCAATCTCCAGTAAGGAAAAAAAAAATATAGAACTACTATATGATCCAGCAATTCTACTTTGGGTATGTATCCAAAAGAATTGAAAACAGGGTCTTGAAGAGATATTTGCATGCCCATTTTCATAATAGCACTATTCACAATAAATAGCCAAGAAGTGAAAGAAACTAGGTGTCCATTGACAGATGAATAGATTGAAAAATGTGGTTTGTATATTTAGTGAGATATTATCTTCAATCCTTACAAGGGAATGAAGTCTTGTCATATGACATGACATGGATGAACCTTGAGGGCATTAGGCCAGCCAAAAGGACAAGCATTGTATGGTCCCACTTATATGAGCACATTAGTCAAATCCATAGAAACAATGGTAGAATGCTGATTACCAGGGCCAAGGGAAAGGGGAAAGGATGGTGGTGTTCAAGGGGGACAGAGATTACGATCTGCAAGATGAAACACTCTGCAAACAAACAACCAAACAAACAAACAAAAAACCCAAACTGGATTCTCTCATCATGTTTTCTCTTTAGGTAACAATGATCTGAGTTCTGTTGCTGTCTGCCCATGTAAGAATCTATATTTAGTAAAAATAAAACCTTGTTGTCTTTGTCTCTCCTTAGGCATTAGCCAGGTGACTAAGACAGTTCAAGGAATGGCAAAACTGTCCTGTAACTACAACATCTCTGTTGACGAGCTATCAAGAGTTCGCATTTACTGGCAAAAGGAAAACAAAATGGTGCTGAGTGTCATATCTGGGAGAGTACAGGTGTGGTCCCAGTACCAGAACCGGACCATCCCTGAAATCACTAACAACCTCTCCCTGGTGATCTTGGCCCTGCGCCTGTCAGACAGGGGCACATATACCTGTGTGGTTCAGAAGACTGAAAAAGGGTCTTTCAGAGTGGAACACTTGACTTCTGTGATGCTGTCTATCAAAGGTAGGTGATTTTTTTCTAAGCTGATAGATCCTCCCCCGCCCCTGGTTTTTGTTTTGTTTTGTTTTTGTTTTTGTTTTTTAATTGGTACTCAACCAGATTCTTTACAGTCTTTTTTTAAAAAAAAAAAAAAAAGACTGATTGATTCTTAATGCCCTAAAAGACACTATGTCTATTGTTTCAAGCGGAAATTTTACCCAAAAGGGATGTATAGTATTTCATTTTCTTCTTAGGGTCCGTCTGCAGTGTTTCAGTGCACCCTCACTGATTTCTCAAAATGGAAATATCTGTTAGTGTGCATTTCTTGTACTCTGACAACCCAAAGTCACGGCAATCATCCTGGGCAGTGTAATGGCTTCTGAGTCTCAGGAGGGCGTCTTTATTCTCGTGTAGCTGTGCTATTAACTGCACCTGAGCAGGCCATATGTGCTGTAGTGCCTCATCGGAAAAGAGAAAAGAGCAACGCAGGCATGGTTTTCAGATTGTATCTGAACACCTCGTACAACGGCTACCTTACTATTGTAATCTAACATTTTCAGAATGATAACTTACTGAATATTTGAAACTCCCATCTAACAGCCCCTCCTGTGAAGTTAGAGGTTAGAGAATTGGTTTGATGAGTCACTCCTGCCCCAGAAAGAAGCCTTATTTATACCCTTAGTGTGAAGGGCTAATATGGCTTATATTGGATAGAAAGGAATGTTCCTTGGTCACAGTTTCTACAGGACACTGATGCAGCCCACGTCCTTGTTGAGAAATGACAGCCTCAGCTATTTCCTCGCACTTGAAATTCAAATAATTCTTTTAATTTCTGGGCACTTAAAGCTTTGTGAAAACCAAACCTTATACTTACTAAAATGTAATGATGAATCTTGATCATAGATGACTTTGGCAGATTCTTAGTGAATTCCTCACTGTTCTTCCCCACTTCAGTCATTAGCTATGAATCCTTTTCTGTGGCAATCAGATTACACCTAAAGCTTAGGGGGTAAGCCAGAGGACATGGAATTATCTTACACCTCACTCTGTTTTTTCTGCTTGTTGTTGGAGTAAATGGTTATATGATGATGTGGTCTGAGGAGGACTAAGAAGCTCTCCTCTTCCAAAATGCATTAATTCCTGAAATACTCATCTTTATAGTGCTCCTGAGAGTTTCACCATTTCTCCCAGAAAAGCCCAGTTAAAAGTGAAACTGTGTGACCTGTGGGAGGTGGCACCACAAACATATTAGCCTGCACACTAGTTAATTACATTAGGCACATGGTCCTCTAACAGAATGCTCATAGAGAAGCAGAGTCAAAGAAAAGACAAAGAAGTTCGGGTGCAGTAGCTCACACCTGTAATCCCAGCTGCTCAGAAGGCAGAGGCATGAGGATTGTGAGTTCAAAGCCAGCCTCAGCAACTTAGCAAGACCCTCTTTCAAAAAAAAAAAA